TTACTGTGTTTTATTTTATACTGTTACTGTAAATAAAAACTTGTAAATACTGTGATTACCTTTACAGTATGTAACTGGCAGAAATTGAGAAGTTATTTACTATAATTAATTTTACAGTATGTAACTTGTCAATTGCTGCCAGTTACATACTGTACTGTGAATTTCACGGTACGTTTCTTACAGTATAGTGACAAACATTTTTAACGTGGTTTACTGTCTGTTCACTGTTAAATGTATTAGATATTATTTAGTGTGCTATCCTACTAATGTAGTTGACAAATAACCATGTGAGGAGTTCATCTTTAACACTGCAAACAACTATTGATACAATCTTTAATATTTGAGTATTGCATTTGTACTCCATTCATAATATTCATGGGGACAATTATATTTGTGTGCACGTTTTTGCTCCATGTGCCACAATGTTGTGACCAACACATCATACGGCGTAAACACAGTTGTCATGCATAAATGAAAACAGGTTATAAAGGACTTTCATGAAGGTGTGTGATGGCAGGAAATCTTTGTGACGGTGCAAAGCTCATTAGTTTGTCAGAGAAGCCTCTCCCTGCAGGGATATGACAGCCGCCTTCTGCATTGCTAAGTCAAGCGCTGACAGCTGTGACATCAAATCACCGTTTGAAAGCATAACTCATCGCTACGACATTGTATCATCATGAAAAGGATGCCATACCTGCTACTGTAGTCTCAGTGCAACACGCCTCACACGCTGACAGCACACCACACCAATCTGCAGCGAGACGGGGAGGTGGAAGGTGGAGGCTAAAGGATCAGCTGCAAGGATCCTATGCATCTTACTTTTCATGATTGAAAAGTTAGATGCATAGGGAAAAGGAGCGGAGCATGTGGGAGGGCAGAGGGGAGGTTGAAGTGTAACAAGGTGCTGGGGGAGAAACATGTGGACAGGAAAACTAAAGGAAAAGAAATACCTGAAGTTTGAACAAACTGAAACAAATATCCAATCAAAATATATCTTCTGTCCATATTCATTTTTATGAGCAGGAACTTAAGAACTTGTTTGACCTAATGGTACTTTTCTTGAGAATTTCCATTTAATGCTTTACTTCTCTACTACATTTCAGAGGCAAATATGATACTTTTTACTCCACTACATTGATTTTGACTGCTTAATGCCTGAGCTCGGTTAAGTATAACATAACCTAAAGCATTCATCTGTTTCCATCTTACAATTTATATATCAAAATAGTCATCTCTAGAATAACAAGTATTTAATTGTATTTCACTGTACACTATTTCATTTTACATTCTGTTCTTGTATATCTTATTCATTTTACATATATATAGACTCCTGCATTTATTTGGTCACTTACAACACTCTCTGCATTATTTAACTTATTGTATCTATTTATTTGTTATTTGTTTGTTGACATACGTATATTACGTTTAATTCATCTGCATTACTTGCACATGGGTCTGCAACTTAATCTGCCTTATTTTTATCATAATTTATTCTACTCTGTTTCTTCTTGCACAATTTCTTTTTTTGAATAAAGATAATAATATTGTTTTATGTCCTATAACTATGTTACAAGTTTGAGGAGCTTGGGACTTAAGATTTCCATTGCAATTTCACCACTGTAGCTAGTGTGCATATAACAATAAAGCCTTTGAATCTTTGACAGTTACTTTGTACATATTAAAACACTGATATAGTATGTTGCAGTACTTCACTTCTTATCTACAAAGTACAATATTAAAATGATCTGACAAAAACAGGACAATATACCAACCACTTTTGATACTTGTGGTACATTTAGCTGATAATACTTCTGAACTTTATATTATTCTGAAGTGGGCCATTTTGCAGAATGAATACTTTGTATACATGAAGTATATTTTTTGATACTTAAACTTGTACTTAAATTAAACTTTGAAATACTACTTCTACTTGTAGTGGAGTATTTTAAGACCATCGTATTTGTACTTTCACTCAGTTAAAGCATCTCAGTACTTCTCCACACACTGCATTTAGGCATAAAAAGCAGCTGGCATTATTTTGGTTAACACAAATTAGCAAAATCCGTCCTAAGCCATGTATAAACACATTTTCTTTCTTTATATGCTCAAACAGAGATGTATACGTTTACGTTGAGAGGCCTAACTATTCGGTGCGGAAAAGAGATTGACAAGTGAGGGTTTTGCAACACTTATTTTTGAAAGAGCGCGACTATGGAAACTGTAAGTTCCTACATTTATATCCCACAGCTCGTATTTTGAAATTTGACTTTCAACCGGTTTGTGTGAAGTCAGCAGAGGGATTTTTGACAAGCAGAGTGTCGTGCTCTTAGTGTGGGGTCTCTCTTTTTCTCCTGGGTAACAGGAAATCATGTGGTTGACTTCTGTGAAAAAAACAGTAGGGGGTCCCAGGGGAAAGTATACCCTTGGGTGCTTTTGAAGACATCCCCCCCTAGTTTCAGCAGGCCCCATGCTGAGCTCATAAAGTCAACTCAAAAGTTAAAGTAGTTTCCCCCATTTTAAATCAAGAATACGCCTACGTGTGTTGACGTTTTCTTTTTCAATAATTTGATTCTCCAGCTTCAAGAATGTGCAACAGGTAATGTCAAACATATTATTTTCATCCTGGCCAAATCATTTGCAGCTGCCGACAAGAGAAAACACCCAGTCATTTTCAGATCTAAAATATAATTTCCTTGTTGTGATATTCTCTATTTGCACATTGTGTAAGTCACAAGTAGTCATCCGATGCAATAGTTCTCTCACACTGCACATGGCATGCAGGTGGTGTAGTAATGAACCTGCTTGATGAATAAAAAAGTATATTTACAGAGGCATTACATCCTTCATTATAATGCTTGATCCAAACAGATTTGACGCCAAGCCTGCTCTCATCCAAAGCCAGCAGAGGATTTCACTGCAAATTGGTGAGGTCCTTTTAACAATGTCCCTGCCTGAGTACTGATAGAGCCTCAATAAATCAAGGCAATCACAAGGAGATATGGGAGAGACTTTGCCGTAAATCCCACCGGGATCATAAATGTACAGCATCTAAATGCGTCTGTCCACACTCCCTGTCTCGCTCTGTCTCATGCTTTCTTTATTTTTGTTTGTTCGTCTCCATCTTTAAACACTCCCATGTGGATGTCGATCCAATCATCATTGAAATGGTGCTGCTGCTGATGTGCTGTCACTTGAAATGCTCATTGGTCCTTTGGATGATTGTGCCAAATGTCTAAGGACATTTAGCAACAGTTACATCATTCATAGTAAAGAGATTAGAATGCACCTAATTAGCTCTCCACAACCACTTGTCGGACGTGTCACTTGTGGTACTGGTCGTTGACACTGTAGTTGGAGCTGTGTGTAGACTTGTAGAGCAAGCACACTCAGGAAGCCATCAGGAGAGTTCAAGTATACAGGACACACACTCAGCAGGGCATCAGCACTATGAAAATGAAGGAATTGACCGTTATAAACCTACTAGCAAGTGGTCTAGAGATTGTGAGATTGAAACAATACCTGCATTTGATCCTTTAGTGTTAATATCTAGAAGATAATACTATTGGTTTTGCTTGCATAAAGTCACTGCAAATGTTCAATTCAATGACATGTGATTGGTGCAGTTTAAATATTTTTTATATTTGAAAGTTTTGTTTAAAGTATTTGTGTAACAATATTTGAAAGGGGGGAGTGGTGGTGGCATTTTAGGCCACTGGATGCTTTAGTAGAAAAAAGGTGTCAAATTAATTGTATAACTTGTTGGGAACTGCGAATTTTTTTTTGTATATTTTAAGGATTCCCTAGCCCTAGTTCACACCTTTAAAATTATCTACACAATGCCGATCATTTAAATAAACACATTAGAGTAAAGCAAAAAGTCCCAGGGATGAAATTAATCAGCATATAATGGGAATCAGTGTTTGTTTAACATGTGTTTTTACATTGTGTATGTTCTACACATACTGTCAAGCAGATACATAATTCAGATCTGGAAAAATTGCTCTGTGTGAACTGTTTAAAACTGTTTGCACATCAACAAGGATAAGTGCACAGGAAGACTGACGATGAGCTGGAAGTCCCTCCACTGTAAACTGTCATGTGAACTACTTCGCAGTGAGCCTCCCCAGCATTAGGTAATCGGGTTAATATTGGTGATGAATTACTCGCCTTAGTTTCCCACCTTTCAATTCATGGCTTGTGGTGAATGGGACCCTGAGCAATCCGTATGAATCAGAAGGATATGCAAACCAGCTTTCACTTTTCATGGTGGCTCGGCCTTGAGCAGATGTTGCTGAAAAAGCAGTGCGGCTCCTTTGCTCCTCTATTTTTATAAATAAATTGTCCCTTTAGGTCACAGAACTCCCCAGAGTGACATCTCTTTATGGAGATGACCTGCGCCCGCTGAAATATTCTAGACAGTTTTAGCACCTCTAGTCTCCCTCTGTGAATCACTAGAGTCAGCATTTACCCGAACGTCCTGCTGCAGGGCCAACTGCCAAGTACATTTATCACCATATCGACGATATTGTGCGTTCCTGTAAGTGGTGAATGCAGGTGCTTCACTACCGCAATGCCCAGAGGTGCAACAACCTCACTGCACTGTTATTTAAAGATGTTAGAGAATGTGTTTTTCCTGTCCAAAGAGATTATTATTTCAGAGCCTGCTTTACATCTGAAGCTAATACTGGTATGTTACTTGTGTTAACCAGCAGGTGGAGAAGTTTTCATGGAATTGTGCAACCTCCAGCCCCCACTCCTGTTCCTCCTCTGTCTGTCTCATGCTGACCCTCATGAAAGGAGTTCCTGCACCAACTTCATTCCTCTCCACAGAGGGAGAACATATGTTGGAGACTCACCAGAGACACAGCAACCAGAGAAACAAAGCTCTCACACTGGACTTATTTTTTGTTGTTGGATTACTTCTCTCAAGTCAGGGTCTTCATGGATGCGTCTTTGCATGTGGTTTTATGAAGTTGTGAAGTATACATATAACTTTAACCATGGAAACATCTTTTGCTGTGAACTCTTTTCTCCTTGCCCTTCTTCTCTCTCTTCATCTTCACTGCCACCTCTTTGTTTGGGCCGCAATGGACTCCTGCTTGGATGAGGAGGGGGCCCCGAGCCGCTGCATGCCCAAGTTTGAGAACATTGCCTTCAACCGCACAGTGGTGGTGTCCAATGTGTGTGGTTCCCCACCTGAGGACTACTGCATGCAGACCGGCTCCACGCGCTCGTGCCACCACTGTGACGCGTCAGATCCAGAACTGAGCCACAACGCCAGCCTCCTCACAGACTTCCACATGGATAAGGAGCGCACCTGGTGGCAGAGCCAGTCCATGTTTTATGGTGTCCAGCACCCTAATTCTGTCAACATCACCCTACACCTGGGTAAGAGCATAACAGCAGTACATCCTTAGTGTAGTCTGACCCCAGACTCCTTAGGTTTTGCTTCCCAGTGCAGTTTGCTGCCAGGTTGAGTGATCTAGGTCATGCATGTGAGTCCTCAGGGTTCAATTATGGTCCTATAATGTTGTATATAATGTCCTATTTCCTTTTCAAAGTGGTTGAAAGCTTTTCATGAGCACTGCATTTGTCCCAGAATAGAATATGAATATCAGTAATAGATTTAGCGCTCCAATGCAGACGGTTTCCAGTGTTAGAATCTGGTGATGGGATTTCAGATCAATGCATGTTAGTCGTCCTCGCACAAGTTAAGTTGAGGTTTCAGCACTTTTCATTTGGTGCAGTAAGTATCTTGATATATCACCCTTTGTACTACAAGTCCATTGATGGGGAAATCTTTAATATGAAACAGCCGTGCTCAATAACACATGATTTGTATTATTCAGTTACAGCTTTGTGCTGTCTTCATAAAACAGACTTTGGGCCAGACATGGCTTAGACTTGGAGTATTTGTGAGCACATAACCACAAGGGTATGTCTGAGAATTTGGTGGGATTTAAAGTGGATGAGGATGACACACACTTGCATCTGACATGCCGAGATAGCAACCAGAGTGATGGTTCAGTGCTGGCCCAAGTTTACATTCAGCTCACGTACTACCATGGAGTATTGGTGATGAGGCCATCTGAATCTGGCTGACACCAAACAGTCACAACTCAACTTGATAAGGCTTTTTTCTTGGGTGTGATTTGGGCCAGGACAACTCAAATGCAGCCACCACACATTGAAAGATGTTTCTGATTAGGCCTAGACTAGAAATCAACCTTTAAGTAACTATTTCATTCAATACAAAATCTAACAACAATCTTCTGCTGGAGGCTCATTTAATGTTTTCAACCTTGCCAAAACAAACATACTGAACTGACTGTAGAAAAAACATAAGCCACTTAATATTTTCGGAGAAATTCCAGGAAATATGCAGCAGATAACCTACAGTAAAGCCCCAAGTTTGGCAGGAATAAGACTACGATAAGGAAAGGAGGACCAACTAAGGTTAGTCAGGAATTTACATAAAATGTACTTGGAATTCAAAAGATAAACTTATACTTTCCAGGGAGGTATATTTTATGAACCCCCCCATCAAGAGTCCTCTTTGCATAGTCAAGGGTTTGGTCAGCAAGTTTACTGTCACTTACAATTATGCAAATGTTTCCCTTTACTTTAAAATGTTCACAGAACTTTTGGAGAAATCCCTTTAGAGATGTGTTTTAAACAAAGATTATATTTTGGTGTTTTGAAACATAGTCAAAGGCCTACAGTGAATACTGTTCCTGTCAAAACTTTTAAGTATCTACAAAATAAAAAACGATTTGCCTTGAGTGGATCAGGGTTAGACAAAGTATGCAACTTCTACACCAAGTGAGAAAGCCTTTGTTTTTGCCTTGTCCATTTGCAGTGATTTTAATCAATATAACTTATGATGCAGTTAAGGACACAAATGCATTGAGCATTGTTGAGTAAGTGTATGAAAATATGCTTAATGAATTTGGGGAAATAAGTGGATCATAATTGCGGTTTCTTTTGATATTTTTGTGAAAAATAAGCCAAGTTGAAATTACTTGCTGGCACCAATTATGTAAACATAATGTTTCTCCAGCAGGAGCTCTGGCAGTTGTTCAATTGGAACACTTTTCTTTTGTTTAGAGCTTTACTTACAGCTACTCATATAGTCAATGCACGTAACACATTTTAGGCCAACCATCCTTTGTTAATACAAAGACAGGTTTAGGCTGTGTTCATGCTTTTGGACAGTAAGATATGATTGTGGTCAGGGTTAAGTCTTGGGAAAAAGCTTAAATCATTCAACTTTACGTTACCTGGAACTAAATTGGGGTTTTCACAGTGCAAAGCAAATGTAAAACAATTTTCACCTCGCTGCATTATCCCTGTGTTAATAATACACGTTTTTAGGATTGCTTCCTTGACATACTCTTTTCCTTGGAGCAAATGCATTTGACACGCTTATTGTACAATGCGTACATATTTGCATTTGAAGACATTCCTCATTTCACAACATTTCATGAGACCAGCCTGAGCTGTGAGCCTCATTATCCCATTACCATGCTGTGCAAAACTGCTGAAATGAAGTAACAGACCACATTTGTCACTTTAACTGAATTAAATTGTGGTGATTAATTTCAAAGCATTAATGCAACTCTTTCTATTGGCAGGTTAAACACATTATTTCCTGTGCATTTATTTTTTCCTCCTTCAGTTTTCACTATAACAGAATAATACTGAATAATACACTACCAATACGAGAACTCAACAGGGACTTGTACAGACAAATTAATCATTTATTATTTCCAGGCTACCTTCAGGTTGCATACATATTATCTCACCCAAAAGAGTGAATTCAAACATATTATCCAAAATGGCAAACAATTCTATAAAAATACATTTGAACCCTGCCAGTATTCAAATTATCTATTACTATCTTTTACTGTACATTATTTCGATTTCCTCAAAGTTATGTAACTGTGTGGAAATGTAGCCTAGAGTCTAGACAACTAGTTTAAAATAAACTGCTCACACGGCATGTTCAGGTATCTGTGAGAAATTTATAATTTGGAAACAATACTTCCAGTTATTTCAAGTAAATCTATGGTTTTAAACTAAACGTTCCCATAGTGTGATGATAGTGAGTCGGATTTTTCCAATGTGTGCTGGGATGGATTCCATTGTGTTTTAGGCTGCAGGATAAGTGGATAATAACTAATGGAAGGATGTATTTTCATAATTTCTCTGCATCATCTTCAATTCAGCCACAAATTAGATAAACTACATATGGGAAGATGTTGAATTCAAAGGTTGGATTGAAAGCTTGTCTATTTGGTATTTTAAATAAAATGCATTCCAAAAGGATTTTTAATTGAATTTGAATGTGACATTTAACCTGTAATGATGGGTTTTGGCCACTTGGGAGAAGCGTAAAAATAAGCTTAAAACTACACAGCACAAATAAACTTTGATAAGGCCCACTGCAAGCTAACAACTGCTAGTGTGCACAACCAGCATTTGAGTCCTGCTTTTGGCAAAGTGGCGCATGTAAGTCCATTGTTCACTGTCTTTTAGCTTTGTTTTACTTTATTTATTCCAATTCCCAAAGGAATTAGCTGTCTAGCATTTAGTTTAGCTGCTACCGTTAAACCATATTAACGTTAGCAGCTAAGTTTAGTAACATTAGCTGCTAAGCTAGCTCCTGCCGGCCCTGCCAGCTGTTTAAGGTGCATACTGTGAGCACTTTTAGCTAAAAACAACACTTTGAAAGTGGTGAGAGTGAACCACAACAGCAAAGCAGTGGTATAAGTAGGCTACTACAATTCAGAGGTAGATAATGTACTTTCACTCCACTAGATTTATATTGTATCTTAAATTACTGTACAGATCTGGAATAATGATGTGAAATATAATCATAAATAAGACTTTAGTTACACCTGAAGTAAATCCACAAGCTACTTTGCAGCATACAAAGTAATTAATTAGCCGTACCTTTACCAGCTTTGGTCACTCTCTAATGCATCAATGATTATAAGAATAGCATCTGATATTATTCTGAAATGGGTCAATCTGCAGAATGAGTACTTTTACTGTTGGTACTTCAAGCAGACCCGGCGCCAGAACAAATCTACAGAGAGGGCATATGATTTTCATGGGAGGGCACACAAAACCGTCATGTGCCCCGGCACAATATAGATCGTATCAAACAGCATGGCCAACAGCATTGCGTAAAGACGCACACCTATCGCAAATAAATACACAAATAAAGGGCAACATAGAAACCACTTTTGAAACATTGTGTGCTCATGAGCAAGGCACACATTTGAAATAAAAATAAAACATAACAGCAACAGCTTTGCTTGGGCCTTAAACTTGGGCAACCGTTGACCGGAGCAGCAAACATAATAATACAGAGCGACGGCGACACCACATTATGCAGTGCGTACTAGCGTAACTCAGCACCAGGGTTTGCCGAGGTCAAGCTAGTAACATTACGGCGTGCTTCTGCAACGGCAGGTGCAGGGTCGCCAGCAGCACCATCGGCTGCAGTTCTCTCATCGCGATTTATTTGTAATAAATCCTTAGACCTACTCGTGGTTTTAAGCCAATTTCTGATGTCCATTTTGTAATTTAAAACAGAAATGGGAGTCTATAGAATGCATAATAAAAAACAAATCCAGAATAGGCAGAGTAGTGTGACGCTGTGATTGGTCTAAATGTGGACGAATCACAAATCACAAAAGACACATGAATTTATTTGACGTGGACTACGATTTTTGTTGTAGTTACTATCTGACATCACATACATCGTAACATTAAAGTTCACAGTTTATTTATAATAGGGGAGGGCAGGAATGTCAAATGGGAGGGCCTGGCCCTCTCTGGCCCTCCCACGGTGCCGCCGCGCCGGGTCTGACTTTAAGTATATTTAGATGCTAATGCTTTTCTGCTTTTACTTGTGACAGAGAATTCATACACTCTGGTATTTCTACTTTAACTTAAAGGGGACCTATCATGCAAAATGCACTTTTGTACATCTTTTATACATGAATATGTATATGAATATGAATATGAATATGTGTCAGAAAACACAACCCTCTCTATTTTCCTCCATACCCAAATCTCTAAAAAAGGGGCTGCAACGGATCTGATACAGACTGATCCAGATTTGAACACTGTCCTGACGTCAGGACGGTGACGCTACGGCTATTGGGCCAACTCTCCACCTATCAGGGGAATGTGGGGTTGGGCCACGGCCGGCCATTGCCGCTCGAAAGCGCTGGAGACGCTGTAGTACATATGCCAGGCCTGTAAGTGGCGCTGTAGTCGGCCACAAAAGCAGCGAAGAAGACTTCCCGCCCATAGTTACCATGGTTACCCTTCTGTTTATTCTCCGCTGTGGCTTTCTTTCTCCCTCCCCGAGGCAAGCGTTTGCTCCCGCTGCTTTAATGCAATGCAATCCCTCCCGGTCGAGGCAAGCACTGTAATTCTCTCCGGTTAGTCCACCAGCAGATGACAAACACCCACCTCTCCGCCTCTTCCAAGGAACGAGGGGACCGTGCGGCAGAGTTTCAGTTTCAGTTTCTTTCGCCGGTCAAGATGTCCGTTAAAGTTTAACTCTTCCGGACAAAATTAGAAAAGTGCCGGTCAAAGGTCTTCTTTGTTATTTATTGAGCTTTAAAACAAATGAATAATGACTCCATAGGCCTATAATAATATAATAAAACCATAGACTGTATATATAAATAAAACACGGAGGACGGAGATCTTTTTTTCTCCCCCGCTTGACTTGATCAGAGCACGGCTTCCCTCTCCTGCAGGGGGGCGTGGTCAGCTGCAGCTCACAGAGATCAGCCCCGTAGACAGCAAACAGCACAGAGAGCGAAATGAGGCATGGCTAAAATGCATGATCTGTTTGGTATTTTGAAAACAGAAACGTATAAATATACCTCATATAGGTATGGTCCTACAATATATCATTTAAATATAGCATGATAGGTCCACTTTAAGTACAAGATCTGAGTACTTTTTACACCTTTTCAGCAAAGTTTCAAACTAGCTTAAAGATAAGGTGTGTTTGGACATCCATCAATCAGTCAGTGAAGACTCTGTCCAAACTAGACATGTCCATGACAGGTCAAATGTCCTCCCTCCTCCTCCCCTTTGTAGGGAGGAGACCCCGATCAAAGAGCTTTTCTTCAAAGAAACAAGAAACAGGGACAAAATGACGACACAAGTTGAAAATGTCAGCGCTTTGACCATAGATGAACTGTTATATCACATGCTCAGAAGGCCAGAAGTCGCTCCATCAAATAGAAAATATTGATTTCCAATAGTAAGTAGATGCCAGGCTATGTTTTGAGGCTTTGCTGTTTATAATCTCAGGCTAGATCTTTTCCTGGAGAAAGCAGCCAATGTTACTTTTGCAGAGGTATTTTCCCGGTTGTCTGCAGGGCTGTTATTCTTCAGACAATCCCAACACCCACATGTCTGTCTCCCTCAGACTGAATTGACCTTTGCTCACTCTGTTCTACTCCAAAACATGTGTTTCTCTAAACCTGGCGCCTTTGAATAATTCCAGCACTGAAAAAGAGCGAAGATTATGTTTTCATAAAACATCTTATGTAACTGGACATCCCTGAATGTCGGACCTGTGGCATCTTTTCGGTCAGTATAAAAGCTCTGTGATCCATCTGGGTTGCTGGTGGGGGGTTACTCCAACATTACTGTTTTCTTTTGCCTCTCCAAACAAAACAAGCTCTCTCTGAAAGGGAATACAGGCAAAAGCTGGGATGATAAACACACCGGTGGGATGCAGGGACATATATTGCAGCCCAGCCAGAGTGGGTCTGTGGAAGAGTAGAAAGAGAGGGGGAGCTGGGCTGCTTCAAGGGGAGTAAACAAAACATAATGAGCGAGAAGGGGGGGAGAAAGAAGAAAATGCTGGGCGGTTTGGTGGTAAGGAATTGGGGTCAGGTTTTTCCCACAAAAAAAGACTTGGTGAGATACACACACACACACACAGCACACAGAGATTTCTGCAGCTGGTTCTCATTCAGTGCCGTCAAAGACAAACAACATCCTGTCTCAGATGTAAAACAATGATAAAAGTCTGCCACAGTTGGCAGGTTACTCTCAAATTATTGCCGCGCATTTGCGACACATTTCTCTGTAAGAGGCTTGTCGACTCTATTGCATTTGTTAACCATGACCCAGCGATTAGTTGATAAATACACTGATCTGTGTATTTACTGAACACGAAAATCTGGGAGTAAACAGATTGTAAATATTGAGTTTACAGTACTTGTGGTGAGTTTAGTCTCAAACTGTCTAGGTCTTTGGCAGCTGTGTTGAGTTGACATTAGTGACTGAGCGTATAGGTCAGACACTGTACGTCCTCAGCTCAGTCTTTACTCTTTATCTCTGTCCAAATAGTCCTTTTATTAGTGTGCAACATGAACAGCTTTGGTTGGATTTGTGATGCTACACGATTCTCAATCAGCCCTGTAAAGTCACACCTAGGAAGGTGATAAACTGAGTTGAAACTGTGAAGATTAATGTGTGAATTCTATCTTAAGGTATATTTTATGTATAGATATGATGTGTTACTTGGCTTGGTTTCGATTTAACAGCCTTCCCTTCGCACATAAACCCGAATGAATATATTAAGAATGCACTCCTGAAGGTGGATGAATCACGAATCATTAAACATTATGCATAACAACATACAAATACCCTCTGCAATTAGTCTGCATTGCATCATGGGATATTCAACAAATGGTTCATCTTATGCCTCTTTTATGTTTTTGCCTCAGTCCCAGCAGGGCTGAGCTCACCTCATGCAGGGAGTAAATGAAAGCTAAATGATCTCTCCTAAAGGAAAGATACCATTAGAGCTCGCTGCAGAGACAAGAGACAGAAATGCATAGCTCTGACTATCAGAGAAAGGCAACAGATGTCATTATGAGTGTATCAGTGGATTGCATCCCTCGATGAATTTGCAGAGCGGGTGAGACTTAGTGTCTAATGATGTAGAAACAAATCCCCAAGAGCGCGATGAAGAAGCCTGTTAGGAGGATTTCTACATGTTACTTCTCAGTCTGTTCTCAATATGACTGCAGTTTGTGTCTGCCCAGTTAATCCCCCATAAAGCTGCAAAACATTTGGCACATTCTGTGAGCGTGTTTATACTCAGGAAGTATAGCTCTGCAAGCCTCCCCAATATGGCTTCAAGATGACTGTTTGAAGTGTCCGACCCCACAGTGAGTAAACAATGGGAGGAAATGACACCACTCGATAAAAGAGAAGCATCGATTCTTCGTTTGCTCTGAGATTAGGGAAGAAGATGTCAACATTCCTGCAAAACAAAATAAGGACAACAGCTGTGTTGCAATCAATGACTTTCCTTCTTCAGTTTTCCACATTACAAAGCAAAATCCCCCATTAATTCAAGCCATCTGCGTATGCAATATGCAAAAAGATAGCAAAATGCATTTTTCATTTAATTAAACATATACCTGGGAGATTCTTCCCTCCACTTATTTTGAACCTTTAAAATGACTTTGCTCACATTTCTTCGAGTAACAATGCAACACCCATTACACCAAAACTTATTTTGATCTGCTAAATCCCCTAACAGCAACTCAAATGCAAATCTGGATATGGTATATCTCCTCGCTTACTGCAGATCTTCTTCCAGATGAGATTGTGCTCTGAAACCATTTTACTTTTAAACAGATTGAAGTCAAATCACTGTTTCTGGGGAAATAAAAATCCATGAAAAGTCTCGTTTTTTTCCCCCAGGCACCAAATGTACGGTGGACTAAAATCTTGCCTTCTATTTTTGACCTATCATTCAATCAATGATATGTTAAGTTATTAGCAATCCTCAGCCTCTCATTGCACTCCTTAGTATTTTAGTGGGTTGACAAATCACTTTTCTATCGATTAGATCTGTCCCTTTCCTGTCGCACCTCAAATGTTGCATCAGACTACATCCTAACTGGACAACACTGATATTTCCCCTGTGATTTTGCACTCATTGACCTATTTTGTCTTACAATTCTGAAAAGAAAAACGTTTTTTCTCTTTCCCTTTGACCTATGTTTCACTTCTGGGGCCCATTATGGTTGGTATAATGAGAAAATAATCCTTGGTATTCTTCTAGTCCTGCAGGAATGACATTCATTTACCCTGCAAAGAGGCATGGGAAATTAAGCCTACCCCCCCATTGTTTTCCTTATTTCTATAATGCAATTATGTCTTTTTTTCTTTTCTTTTTGCTCCTGGGGCCTAAACTATCACCCTACAGTATTTGTCTCTCACATAACCAGCCTCTGATCCGACTGTGTAGCTACAATGGATCTAGTTCCACCAGTAATTCTTTCAATGATGCCATTCAGAGCTAATCATATCTGTTTTCCACAGGGAAGGCTTTCGAGATAACTTATATACGATTGAAATTCTACACCAGTCGGCCGGAGAGCTTCGCCATCTACAAGCGCACGGAGCAGAATGGGACCTGGTTGCCTTACCAGTATTACAGCGCCTCTTGTAGGAAGACCTATGGGAAGGATGACAAGGAGTACATTCGCCCAGGAGGTGACGAGAGGAATGCTTTATGTACCGATGAGTTCAGTGATATCTCTCCCCTGACCGGAGGAAACGTGGCTTTCTCCACCCTGGAGGGGCGGCCCAGTGCTTACAACTTTGACCAGAGCGTGGTGTTGAAGGTAAGGACACATTTTGATGTGTATATTTGTATGCATATGATGGATATTATTTTTTTTTTGACATGGGTGAATCTAGGTTCACTTAAGATAAGAAAAGATGAGATAACATGGACCTCACCTTTATTGATCCCTGTAGGGAAATTCAGGTGTGATAGCAGCAACAAATGAGAAAGACACAGATAGGACTTATGGAATATACACGGGAATAATAAGAATAAAATAAGAATAAACATGTATCAACAGTATGAATAGAAATAACAACATTTACGTGAGTTAAACACAGATCTGGGATTACAGGGATTTTGCAAAAAGATCACAACTAAATACACTAGATCTTAAATGCAGATTTTGAATGCAGAAAAGAAAACAATCACTTACAAATAAAACATTTGAAAAACAAATGAATGCAAAGTAAATATTCCTTCAAGAGACATGTTTTACGTAGAATACACTTCAAAAAAATGTGAATGTTTGCTTATTTTTTGACTGCATTACATTTCAAAATGTTGCCAATGTTAGATCTTAGTTTTGACATCCAATATTTATTTTCAAATACTCCTGGAAAAATAATGTGTCCCAGCTTGTATTCTGATTCTAATTCTGACAGGGTTATTATAGGCCAGCTATCATCACAAGATCACATGTTGTAACAGTGCCGTGCAACTTAAACGTACACTTTTACACAAACAAACATACCTCAGAGCTATACACATATACATGCATGCCTTCAAGCCCTTTGGAAGCCACTGAAGAGATTCTAATATTATGTTTGGATCTGATTAACATTTATGAAGCTTTGAGAAGGCTGTGCTGAATTAATGGCAGCCTCTTGGGGGAGAGTCTGGGAGGGGCGGGCACAGTGAAACTTAGCAAAAAATGAGTAAATAATAAAGCGCTTAATGCAGCCACTCCTTTATTTATTTGACAGGGCTGTGTGTAAATACTTTTCCCTTTGGTAATTACTAAAGATCTTAGCCGTCATGTGTATTAATATATGTTTATTTGAAGGTCTCAGCATTGCTTACAGTAACTTATGATTGATCCAAATAAAAATAACCGTGTTACAGCAGTTTATGTGAGTTAGCTAATTCGAGCAGAGATTGTTCAGGACCTCCATGAATAATGAAACCATGGTACTTTCATCTCTGAGCAAACATGCATTTATGGCCATAAATAGCATATCACAAAATTGAATTGAGTTTGTCCAACTTCAGAAGAAAAGAAGTATTTTAAGATGGCAAATCAAAACCAACATTTATGAAAATATCAGTACAAAACATTTATACTGATATTTTCTTTTCTTTGGTTTAACCTTCAAATCTAATGGTGTTATCTGACGGATCACTTTTACATTTTAGAGACAGCAAGATTAAAAAGAAAGTCAATGGAAAATGGTTTAGTAGTCAAATTCAAATCACAATCAGTTTTAGGTAGTAGGTTTCCCGTTCAAAGGATTTGGCCTATTTCTTAAAAAATGTATTACAATGTAGATTTAATTTTCTATTCTTTAAATTTAGAATAGAAAAAATGTAAGGTACAATAAAAAAAGTAAAAACATATGGGCATATCTTTTTGTATGATTAAAGAGATATACATCTGTGTGCAGCCTTACAGTATATAATGTTCAATGGCATCAATCTCTGAGGGAAGCAGGCTTAAATGTGTAAGTACTGTATGTGGTTAGCTGGGACATACTAAGTGAAGGACCAGGGTTTACACTTACAAGGCACGTTGGGCAAGTTTAGAAGAAGATCAGGGTTTCAATTTAATATAAAAAAATGATTAAATATGTTGTGCTTAAATTGACTCTGGAGTTTGTCAATTTTTAACCAAGAAGTTGCGTGCTTTGAGTACTTAAGAATCAACATGAAAACAAGCTACACATAATGTAGAAAAATACATTGATTCTCGACGACCAGTTTGCATATTTATGGTTCATTCAATGTCTCCTCATTATTTTAAAGAAAATGTATTCATGGCATTATGTGTCTCTCAAAAAGTACTTGCTGTTGTAAACCGTGATTGGAGAAAGGAGAAACCATGATGAATAATCATTCAAAAGTTACCATTTCTCAGTAAAACTTCCACCACCACCTCCATAGTGTTACATGATGTTTACATATAGGCCTCCCTCTGCCCGGGTGTTTTCATTCTGGATGTTGCTTGTCTCCACCATAGACTGTATATATAAAGGTCTCCACTCTACCTTACGGTGCTGTATGCATGTTGCTATTTTTACTTCCTGTCTCTAGAACATGAGCAACAACAAAAAACCCTACCCTGTAGAGTACATACAGCTTCAACAGTAATCCTTAATTATTAAAGGAACTTCATGCCGCGATGATCAGTCCTCAGTGATGTTAGCTAATGATAACTCTTCACCTGTCTGGCCTTTTTCCTCAAATGTCATATCGAAATAGTTCTGGCAATGAAAGAATAGCACTTCTGTAAAGGAAGGGAGCAGTCCTCCACATCATTAAAAAAAGATAAGTAAGGGTGCTTTTTAGAGGAAGTGTGGATGATATGCACACTGCATACCTCCTAACCTCCTAACAAAAAAAGAAATGTGTCAATTTACACCCAGTATTTATGGAGATTTGCAGATTAAGATAAGGCTCTCTATTCATCTGTATTATACTATTTGTATAACAAGATTGCAGTGGTGATTGTTTCCGACTTGTTTGATCCAAATATTTTCTAGAACTCCTGAGCATTGTAAAGGACAAAAGACTAAATCTATTGAAAAAGGATAGATGTAATAAATCAAAAATTCACAGTTTTTCTTTTAATTAATTTCATATTTAGCTTCAAGCTTTTTTTGCATAACATCAATGTAGCAGCACTATAACATACATATATATAATCTAAATAACAAAAATCTAATCTCTTTTCTCATTTTTTCATATCGATGATACAGTATCATGAAATATGATTACAATTGATTGACATTCAAAGCTTCATTCCTTAAAAGACGATTCAAATGTTTAATAAAAGCATAGAGCCTTGAACCCATCTTCCACAATTTAATCAAGTGAAGACGAAGAGTGTGTGTGTTGCTCCCTCTGGCAGTATATGAGCTGTCCGCTGGATATGATAAATGAATATGTTATAAATCAATCTGAAGATGATTAAGCTAGACTATAGCACACCCGAATCCCAATATTTATCTCGGCTCATTCTTGATGCTTTGATACTCGACTATGAAATATGTTGTTTTAAATATCTGAATGCAACGTTCAGTGCTATCAAATATTCACATAAAAACCTGTTCAGAAACATACGGCTGACTGATAGATTGTAACTGATGAGGATTCATTATGACGGCATCATTGTTTTATTCATACTCTCAAACTTCCTTAAGATGTTTCATTTCAAGAGCACAACAGTGTGATGTGGCTGACAAGCCCTTAGGGCTACATATGGTATCTCTGCACACACACCTTTACCCCACCCCCCTGCCACCCTAACACTCACATGCTTTCTGTGCCAGATGCTGTCTTCTCATAAATCCTCCCCTCCCATCAGCCACGGCACTTTGAGTAGGTGACATCTCTCCAACCTCCTGCAGAGTAGAAAGTGGCAGCTTTCCTCCAGAGTGATGCCATTTTAAACTGGGAAAACATGGAGGCTGGAAACACAGCAATGCTGAAGACACATCAGCTCTCAACATTTGCTAACTGCGGTGAGCAACAGGATGGAGACAAGTTATATTCCCCTAGTGTCTACAATGAGTGAAAATAGAAATGAAATGCTAGTGGGCAATGGGTTGTGCACATTGTGTGTCAGGCTGCTGGCAGTAAAGCGACACACAGCCGTCTGAAAGAGGAATCTGCATGTACGACTGGTTTAGCTCCTGAGCTGAAAGCCAACAGATTCTACTCTTATCTGTCTTGTAAGAGCCACAAATAAAGGAGAGTGAATGAAAGAGAACACATTTATGTGACTGAGCAACGGCCACTCAACCTGCTGTCGATAAAAATACCTCTCTAGAAGTTTCTACAAGTAAGGATGTACTCTCCTCAACACATAATTCCTGCATTGTTCCCTTTCTCTCTGCTCAGTGTGTTCCTCCTGCGCTACTTTTTTAAAGAGAGCATTTTTTTTAAATGCTTACAAGAAATGGTAGCAGCAGAGATTATTAAACTGTCACTTTCTGAATAATCTCTTCACATGAGTCTATCACTACTATTCCGGCCTCTCTATCCATCTGATATATACTTCTGAACTAAGGCAGGCTGAGACATTAGAACATTGTACATTAGGTTTGTTGTAAATACAGCATTGAGTATTTAAATTATTGTTAAGTCAGCATTATGTTTTCAGTTGGATATGCATGCTTCATACATGAACAGAGCCACAAAAACATTGAAAGGATTATGTGGGATTAAGGAATTAAGGTACAGTAGCATAAGAGTAAACGATAGGGAGACAGAGCATTGGTGTTATTCAGGTTGGTGGAAATGTGCTTAATCTAATGACCCAAGTTATGTTACAAGGAAGAAAAAGAAAATAAAGTTTATACTGTAATCTTATTTTTTTCATGACATTTAAATTGCCCAAAACTGTATGAACCCTATATCGAGGGGACTTTGTTTCTTGCTTACACTCAGCAGTTGGTACATTTTGTTCAGCTTTCCAAAAGAAAATAATGTTCAGTTGGCTGCTGCCTGCTGCTGTCCCATAATTCAGTGCAGGTGACATGTCATTTTGTCCACACTGAATGTTTCCCATTAAGCTCTGTAAGGTGTAAAACGAGAGGGGACGACTCTATTTTTAGGCTTTTTGAGCACTTACAGTAGTTATCATCATGTGGGTATGTGTGGGGCGCAGTGTTTTGTTACACCTAAGGTGTTATCACACCTTAGGTGTAACAAGAAAGAATGTTCTACACCAAATGATCAGTAATGTAGCACAAGTGTTGTTGCAGCTTTTGTCCAGACTCGAATTTCTCACCTATTCAATGGATTTGCACGCACTTTCATGGAGCCTAGGTGATGCAT